AGCTGGTTGATGAGTTAGCTGGTTGATGAGTTAGCTGGTTGATGAGTTAGCTGGTTGATGAGTTAGTGGGTTAGTGAGTTGATGAGTTAGTGGGTTGCTGAGTTAGTGGGTTAGTGAGTTGATGAGTTAGTGGGTTGATGAGTTAGCTGGTTGATGAGTTAGTGGGTTAGTGAGTTGATGAGTTAGTGGGTTAGCGAGTTGATGAGTTAGCGAGTTGATGAGTTAGCTGGTTGATGAGTTAGTGGGTTAGTGAGTTGATGGGTTAGTGAGTTGATGAGTTAGTGAGTTGATGGGTTAGTGGGTTGATGAGTTAGCGAGTTGATGAGTTAGCTGGTTGATGAGTTAGCTGGTTGATGAGTTAGTGGGTTAGTGAGTTGATGAGTTAGTGGGTTGCTGAGTTAGTGGGTTAGTGAGTTGATGAGTTAGTGGCTTAGTGAGTTGATGAGTTAGTGGGTTAATGGGATAGAGAGTTGATGGGTTAGCTGGTTGATGAGTTAGTGAGTTGATGTGTTAGTGGGTTAATGGGATAGAGAGTTGATGGGTTAGCTGGTTAGTGGGTTGATGAGTTAGTGGGTTAATGGGATAGAGAGTTGATGGGTTAGCTGGTTGATGAGTTAGTGAGTTGATGGGTTAGTGGGTTAATGGGATAGAGAGTTGATGGGTTAGCTGGTTAGTGGGTTGATGAGTTAGTGGGTTAGGGGGTTAATGGGATAGAGAGTTGATGGGTTAGCTGGTTGATGAGTTGATGGGTTAGTGGGTTAGTGGGTTAATGGGATAGAGAGTTGATGAGTTAGTGAGTTGATGAGTTAGTGAGTTGATGGGTTAGTGGGTTGATGGGTTAGTGAGTTGATGAGTTAGTGAGTTGTTGAGTTAGTGAGTTGATGAGTTAGTGAGTTGATGAGTTAGTGGGTTGATGGGTTAGTGAGTTGATGAGTTAGTGAGTTGATGGGTTAGTGAGTTGATGAGTTAGTGGGTTAATGGGATAGAGAGTTGATGGGTTAGCTGGTTAGTGGGCTGATGAGTTAGTGGGTTAATGAGATAGAGAGTTGATGGGTTAGCTGGTTGATGAGTTAGTGAGTTGATGGGTTAGTGGGTTAATGGGATAGAGAGTTGATGGGTTAGCTGGTTGATGAGTTAGTGAGTTGATGGGTTAGTGGGTTAATTGGTTAGAGGGTTGATGGGTTAGCTGGTTGATGAGTTAGTGAGTTGATGGGTTAGTGGGTTAATGGGATAGAGAGTTGATGGGTTAGCTGGTTGATGAGTTAGTGAGTTGATGGGTTAGTGGGTTAATGGGATAGAGAGTTGATGGGTTAGCTGGTTAGTGGGTTGATGAGTTAGTGGGTTAGGGGATTAATGGGATAGAGAGTTGATGGGTTAGCTGGTTGATGAGTTCATGGGTAAGTGGGTTAGTGGGTTAATGGGATAGAGAGTTGATGAGTTAGTGAGTTGATGAGTTAGTGAGTTGATGGGTTAGTGGGTTGATGGGTTAGTGAGTTGATGAGTTAGTGAGTTGATGAGTTAGTGAGTTGATGAGTTAATGAGTTAGTGAGTTGATGAGTTAGTGGGTTGATGGGTTAGTGAGTTGATGAGTTAGTGAGTTGATAGGTTAGTAAGTTGATGAGTTAGTGAGTTGACGAGTTAGTGGGTTAGTGAGTTGATGAGCTAGTGAGTTGATGGGTTAGTGAGTTGATGAGTTAGTGAGTTGATGAGTTAGTGGGTTAGTGAGTTGATGAGTTAGTGGGTTAATGGGATAGAGAGTTGATGGGTTAGCTGGTGAGCGAGGTGGTGAGCGACGTGGTGAGCGAGGTGGTGAGTGAGGTGGTGAGCGAGGTGGTGAGCGAGGTGGTGAGTGACGTGGTGAGCGAGGTGGTGAGTGAGTGATGTGGTGAGTGACGTGGTGAGTGAGGTGGTGAGTGAGTGACGTGGTGAGGTGGTGAGCGAGGTGGTGAGCGAGGTGGTGAGCGACGTGGTGAGCGAGGTGGTGAATGACGTGGTGAGTGACGTGGTGAGGTGGTGAGCGAGGTGGTGAGCGAGGTGGTGAGTGACATGGTGAGTGAGGTGGTGAGCGACGTGGTGAGTGACGTGGTGAGGTGGTGAGCGACGTGGTGAGTGAGGTGGTGAGTGACGTGGTGAGCGAGGTGGTGAATGACGTGGTGAGTGACGTGGTGAGTGAGGTGGTGAGCGAGGTGGTGAGTGACGTGGTGAGTGACGTGGTGAGTGAGGTGGTGAGCGAGCTGGTGAGTGACGTGGTGAGCGAGGTGGTGAGCGAGGTGGTGACGTGGTGAGCGAGGCACAGTGTACACACACAGTGTGGTGAGCGAGGTGGTGGTGGTGAGCTCACCTTGCACAGAACCTCCACAGGGGTGGTGAGTGACGTGGTGAGTGACGTGGTGAGTGACGTGGTGGTGAGTGACGTGGTGGTGAGTGACGTGGTGACGTGGTGAGTGACGTGGTGAGTGACGTGGTGAGGTGGTGAGCGAGGTGGTGAGCGACTTGGTGAGCGAGGTGGTGAGCTCACCTTGCACAGGACCTCCACAGGGGTGGTGAGTGACGTGGTGAGTGACGTGGTGAGTGACGTGGTGGTGAGTGACGTGGTGGTGAGTGACGTGGTGACGTGGTGAGTGACGTGGTGAGTGACGTGGTGAGTGACGTGGTGAGTGACGTGGTGAGTGACATGGTGACGTGGTGAATGACGTGGTGAGTGACGTGGTGAGGTGGTGAGCGAGGTGGTGAGCGACTTGGTGAGCGAGGTGGTGAGCTCACCTTGCACAGGACCTCCACAGGGGTGGTGAGTGACGTGGTGAGTGACATGGTGAGTGACATGGTGTGTGACGTGGTGACGTGGTGAGGTGGTGAGGTGGTGAGCGAGGTGGTGAGCGAGGTTGTGGTGAGCTCACCTTGCACAGGACCTCCACTGGGGTGGTGAGTGACGTGGTGAGTGACATGGTGAGTGACGTGGTGAGGTGGTGAGTGAGGTTGTGGTGAGCTCACCTTGCACAGGACCTCCACTGGGGTGGTGAGCGAGGTGGTGAGGTGGTGAGTGACGTGGTGAGTTGGTGAGGTGGTGAGCGAGGTGGTGAGCTCACCTTGCACAGGACCTCCACTGGGGTGGTGAGTGACGTGGTGAGTGACGTGGTGAGTGACGTGGTGAGTGAGTTGGTGAGCGAGGTGGTGAGTGAGTTGGTGAGCGAGGTGGTGAGTGAGGTGGTGAGCGAGGTGGTGAGCTCACCTTGCACAGGACCTCCACTGGGGTGGTGAGCGAGGTGGTGAGTGAGTTGGTGAGCGAGGTGGTGAGTGAGGTGGTGAGCGAGGTGGTGAGCTCACCTTGCACAGGACCTCCACCGGGGTGGTGAGTGAGGTGGTGAGTTGGTGAGGTGGTGAGGGTGAGCTCACCTTGCACAGGACCTCCACTGGGGTGGTGAGCGAGGTGGTGAGTGAGTTGGTGAGCGAGGTGGTGAGCTCACCTTGCACAGGACCTCCACTGGGGTGGTGAGTGAGTGATGTGGTGAGGTGGTGAGTTGGTGAGGTGGTGGTGGTGAGCTCACCTTGCACAGGACCTCCACTGGGGTGGTGAGCGAGGTGGTGAGTGGCGTGGTGAGTGACGTGGTGAGTGACGTGGTGAGTGACGTGGTGAGTGACGTGGTGAGGTGGTGGTGGTGAGCTCACCTTGCACAGGACCTCCACTGGGGTGGTGAGTGAGTGATGTGGTGAGGTGGTGAGTTGGTGAGCGAGGTGGTGGTGAGCTCACCTTGCACAGGACCTCCACTGGGGTGGTGAGCGAGGTGGTGAGTGAGTGACGTGGTGAGCGAGGTGGTGAGCGAGGTGGTGAGTGAGTGACGTGGTGAGCGAGGTGGTGAGCGAGGTGGTGAGCTCACCTTGCACAGGACCTCCACTGGGGTGGTGAGTGAGTTGGTGAGTGACGTGGTGAGTTGGTGAGTGTGGTGGTGAGCTCACCTTGCACAGGACCTCCACTGGGGTGGTGAGCGAGGTGGTGAGTGGCGTGGTGAGGTGGTGGTGGTGAGCTCACCTTGCACAGGACCTCCACTGGGGTGGTGAGTGACGTGGTGAGTGACGTGGTGAGGTGGTGAGTTGGTGAGTGACGTGGTGAGGTGGTGAGTTGGTGAGTGACGTGGTGAGGTGGTGAGTGACGTGGTGAGGTGGTGGTGGTGAGCTCACCTTGCACAGGACCTCCACTGGGGTGGACATTTTCTTCTCACTGATCTTCTCATACTTCTGTTTCTTAGTGGCCGCCTGGGGGCACGCGCAGACACACACTGTACACACTGTACACACACTGTACACACTGTAACACTGTACACACTGTACACACGCTGTACACACACTGCACACACTGTGCACACACCACACTGTATACACTGTACACACTGTGCGCACACTGCACACCCACACTGTACACACTGCACACACCGCGCGCGCACTGTACACACTGCACACACTGTACACACTGTACACACAGTGCACACACAGTGTACACACACACTGTACACACACTGTACACACACAGTGTACACACACAGTGTACACACACAGTGTACACACACAGTGTACACACACACACAGTGTACACACACAGTGTACACACACAGTGTACACACACACACAGTGTACACACACAGTGTACACACACAGTGTACACACACACAGTGTACACACACACAGTGTACACACACACAGTGTAGACACACATAGTGTACACACACACAGTGTACACACACACACAGTGTACACACACACACACAGTGTGTACGTACACACAGTGTAGTACACACACACACAGTGTACACACACACACAGTGTACACACACATAGTGTACACACACACACAGTGTTTACTCACCACTGTGTGTGTGTGTACACACACACAGTGGTGAGTGAGTGGTGAGTGAGTGGTGAGCGAGTGGTGAGTGAGTGGTGAGTGAGTGGTGAGTGAGTGGTGAGCGAGCGAGTGGTGAGTGAGTGGTGAGTGAGTGGTGAGTGAGTGGTGAGTGAGTGGTGAGCGAGTGGTGAGCGAGTGGTGAGCGGTACCTTGAGTCCCTGCCAAGGTAGGCTGGTGCGGTTAAAGTACATCAACACGTAGCCCAGAGACTCCATGTCGTCACGCCGGCTACACACACACAGAGACACACACACACACAGACACAGTGACACACACAGACACACACAGACACACACACACAGAGACACACACATACACACACACACAGAGACACACACACAGATACACACAGAGATACACACAGACACACACACACACACAGTGTACACACACACAGATACACACAGACACACACACAGACACACACACACACACACAGTGTACACACACACAGATACACACAAACAGACACACAGGCACACACACACATACACACACAGAAACACACACACACACACACAAACACAGACACACACACAGACACACAGACACACAAACACAGACACACACACAGTCACACACACACACAGACACACACACAGACACACACACAGACACACACAGACACACACACAGACACACACACAGACACACACACAGACACACACAGACACACACAGACACACACACAGACACACACACAGACACACACACAGACACACACACAGACACACACACAGACACACACACACACAGACACACACACACACAGACACACACACACACACACAGACACACACACACAGTGGTTGGTAGTGGTAGTTGGTAGTGGTATTTGGAGGTAGTTACTGGTAGTTAGTGGTAGGTGTGGTAGTGGTAGTTAGTGGTAGGTGTGGTAGTGGTAGTTAGTGGTAGTAGTAGTTAGTGGTAGCAGTTGTTAGTGGTAGTAGTAGTGGTTAGTGGTAGTAGTTAGTGGTAGTTAGTGATAGTAGTTGTTAGTGGTAGTAGTAGTGGTTAGTGGTAGTAGTTAGTGGTAGCTAGTGATAGTAGTTGTTAGTGGTAGTACTAGTGGTAGTAGTAGTAGTGGTAACAGTGGTAGTAGTAGTGGTAGTAGCTAGTGGTAGTTAGTAGTAGTGGTGGTAGTTAGTGGTAGTAGTTAGTGGTAGTTAGTGGTAGTAGTAGTGGTAGTGGTAGTTAGTAGTAGTGGTAGTTAGTAGTAGTGGTAGTTAGTAGTAGTGGTAGTTAGTGGTAGTAGTTAGTGGTAGTGGTAGTTAGTGGTAGTGGTAGTTAGTGGTAGTGGTAGTTAGTAGTAGTGGTAGTTAGTAGTAGTGGTAGTTAGTGGTAGTAGTAGTTAGTAGTAGTTAGTGGTAGTTAGTGATAGTTAGTAGTAGTTAGTGGTAGTTGTAGTTAGTAGTTAGTTAGTGGTAGTTAGTGGTAGTTAGTAGTAGTAGTGGTAGTTAGTAGTAGTTAGTAGTGGTAGTTAGTAGTAGTTAGTGGTAGTTAGTGATAGTTAGTAGTGGTAGTTACCCTCTGCTCGATCCCCAGGTGGGCGTTGATGGAGGCGTATCTCGCCGTGCCCACAGTAGTGGTAGTTAGTAGTAGTAGTAGTGGTAGTTAGTAGTAGTAGTAGTGGTAGTTAGTAGTGATAGTTAGTGATAGTTACCTCTGCTCGATCCCCAGGTGGGCGTTGATGGAGGCGTATCTCGCCGTGCCCTTAGTAGTAGTGGTAGTAGTTAGTAGTAGTAGTAGTGGTAGTTAGTAGTGGTAGTTAGTAGTGGTAGTTAGTAGTGATAGTTAGTAGTGATAGTTACCTCTGCTCGATCCCCAGATGAGCGTTGATGGAGGCGTATCTCGCCGTGCCCACAGTAGTAGTGGTAGTTAGTAGAAGTAGTGACAGTAGTTAGTAGTGGTAGTTAGTAGTGATAGTTAGTGGTAGTTAGCGGTAGTTAGTGATAGTTAGTGATAGTTACCTCTGCTCGATCCCCAGATGAGCGTTGATGGAGGCGTATCTCGCCGTGCCCACAGTAGTGGTAGTAGTGATAGTTAGTAGTGATAGTTAGTGGTAGTTAGTAGTGATAGTTAGTGATAGTTAGTAGTGATAGTTACCTCTGCTCGATCCCCAGGTGGGCGTTGATGGAGGCGTATCTCGCCGTGCCCACAGTAGTGGTAGTAGTTAGTAGTAGTGATAGTAGTTAGTAGTAGTGGTAGTTAGTAGTGATAGTTAGTGATAGTTAGTGGTAGTTAGTGATAGTTACTTCTGCTCGATCCCCAGATGAGCGTTGATGGAGGCGTATCTCGCTGTGCCCACAGTACTAGTTAGTAGTGATAGTTAGTAGTGATAGTTAGTAGTGATAGTTAGTAGTGGTAGTTAGTGATAGTTACCTCTGCTCGATCCCCAGGTGGGCGTTGATGGAGGCGTATCTCGCCGTGCCCACAGTAGTGGTAGTAGTTAGTAGTAGTGATAGTAGTTAGTAGTAGTGGTAGTTAGTAGTGGTAGTTAGTGATAGTTAGTGATAGTGATAGTTAGTAGTGGTAGTTACCTCTGCTCGATCCCCAGGTGAGCGTTGATGGAGGCGTATCTCACCGTGCCCACAGTAGTGGTAGTAGTAGTGGTAGTTAGTGATAGTTAGTAGTGATAGTTAGTGGTAGTTAGTAGTGATAGTTAGTGGTAGTTAGTGATAGTTAGTGATAGTGGTAGTTAGTAGTGGTAGTTACCTCTGCTCGATCCCCAGGTGGGCGTTGATGGAGGCGTATCTCGCCATGCCCACAGTAGTGGTGGTAGTTAGTAGTTAGTAGTGGTAGTTAGTAGTGGTAGTTAGTGGTAGTTAGTGATAGTTAGTAGTGATAGTTACCTCTGCTCGATACCCAGGTGGGCGTTGATGGAGGCGTATCTCGCCGTGCCCACAGTAGTGGTAGTTAGTAGAAGTAGTGGTAGTAGTTAGTAGTAGTAGTGGTAGTTAGTAGTAGTAGTTAGTGATAGTTAGTGGTAGTTAGTGATAGTTAGTAGTGGTAGTTACCTCTGCTCGATCCCCAGGTGAGCGTTGATGGAGGCGTATCTCACCGTGCCCACAGTAGTGGTAGTAGTAGTGGTAGTTAGTGATAGTTAGTAGTGATAGTTAGTGGTAGTTAGTAGTGATAGTTAGTGGTAGTTAGTGGTAGTTAGTGATAGTTACCTCTGCTCGATCCCCAGGTGGGCGTTGATGGAGGCGTATCTCGCTGTGCCCACAGTAGTGGTAGTTAGTAGTAGTAGTAGTGGTAGTTAGTAGTGATAGTTAGTGATAGTTAGTGGTAGTTACCTCTGCTCGATCCCCAGGTGAGCGTTGATGGAGGCGTATCTCGCTGTGCCCGTCAGGTTTTTATCCTCACGGTATGGAATGTGCTGCCGGGTTCGGCTGTCTCGATACTTCTTGGCGAGTCCAAAGTCGATGAGGTACAGCTGCACACACACACAGCATAGTACACAGCATAGTACACACAGCATAGTACACACAGCATAGTACACACAGCATAGTGTACACAGCACAGTGTACACAGCATAGTGTACACAGCATAGTACACACAGCATAGTGTACACAGCATAGTACACACAGCATAGTACACACAGCATAGTACACACAGCATAGTACACACAGCATAGTGTACACAGCATAGTGTACACACAGCATAGTGTACACAGCATAGTGTACACACAGCATAGTACACACAGCATAGTACACACACACAGCATAGTACACACACACACAGCATAGTGTACACGCACAGCATAGTGTACACAGCATAGTGTACACACACACAGCATAGTGTACACACAGCATAGTGTACACAGCATAGTACACACACACAGCATAGTGTACACACACAGCATAGTACACACAGCAGAGTGTACACACACAGCATAGTACACACACACAGCATAGTACACACAGCATAGTACACACACACAGCATAGTACACACAGCATAGTGTACACACAGCATAGTGTACACACACAGCATAGTACACACAGCATAGTGTACACACACAGCATAGTACACACACACAGCATAGTACACACACACAGCATAGTACACACACACAGCATAGTGTACACACACACACAGCATAGTGTACACACACAGCATAGTACACACACCATAGTGTACACACAGCATAGTGTACACACACAGCATAGTACACACAGCATAGTGTACACACACAGCATAGTGTACACACACAGCATAGTACACACACACAGCATAGTACACTCACACAGCATAGTACACACACACAGCATAGTACACACACACAGCATAGTGTACACACACACACACAGCATAGTGTACACACACAGCATAGTACACACAGCATAGTGTACACACACAGCATAGTGTACACACACAGCATAGTACACACACACAGCATAGTACACTCACACAGCATAGTACACACACACAGCATAGTACACACACACAGCATAGTGTACACACACACACACAGCATAGTGTACACACACAGCATAGTACACACAGCATAGTGTACACACAGCATAGTGTACACACAGCATAGTGTACACAGCATAGTACACACAGCATAGTGTACTCACACAGCATAGTACACACAGCATAGTGTACACACACAGCATAGTACACACAGCATAGTGTACACACAGCATAGTACACACAGCATAGTGTACACAGCATAGTACACACAGCATAGTGTACACACACAGCATAGTACACACAACATAGTGTACACACACACAGCATAGTGTACACACACACAGCATAGTGTACACACACACAGCATAGTACACACACACAGCATAGTACACACACACAGCATAGTACACACACACAGCATAGTGTACACACACAGCATAGTGTACACACACAGCATAGTACACACAGCATAGTGTACACACAGCATAGTGTACACACACACACAGCATAGTGTACACAAACACAGCATAGTACACACAGCATAGTGTACACACAGCATAGTGTACACACAGCATAGTGTACACACACACACAGCATAGTGTACACACAGCATAGTGTACACACAGCATAGTGTACACACACACAGCATAGTGTACACAAACACAGCATAGTGTACACACAGCATAGTACACACACACAGCATACTACACACAGCATAGTACACACACACAGCATAGTGTACACACACAGCATAGTACACACAGCATAGTGTACACACACAGCATAGTACATACAGACACAGCATAGTACACACACACACAGCATAGTACACACACACAGCATAGTGTACACACAGCATAGTGTACACACACACAGCATAGTGTACACACACACAGCAGTGTACACACAGCATAGTGTACACACAGCATAGTACACACAGCATAGTGTACACACAGCATAGTACACACAGCATAGTACACACACAAACAGCATAGTGTACACACACACAGCATAGTGTACACAGCATAGTACACACAGCATAGTACACACAGCATAGTGTACACACAGCATAGTGTACACACAGCATAGTACACAAAGCATAGTGTACACAGCATAGTGTACACACAGCATAGTACACACACAGCATAGTGTACACAAACACAGCATAGTACACAAAGCATAGTGTACACAGCATAGTGTACACACAGCATAGTACACACACAGCATAGTGTACACACACACAGCATAGTACACACAGCATAGTGTACACAGCATAGTGTACACACACACAGCATAGTACACACAGCATAGTGTACACAGCATAGTGTACACACAGCATAGTGTACACACAGCATAGTACACACACACAGCATAGTACACACACACAGCATAGTACACACAGCATAGTGTACACACAGCATAGTGTACACACACACAGCATAGTACACACAGCATAGCGTACACAGCATAGTGTACACACAGCATAGTACACACACACACAGCATAGTACACACAGCATAGTGTACACACAGCATAGTGTACACACACACAGCATAGTACACACAGCATAGTGTACACAGCATAGTGTACACACAGCATAGTACACACACACAGCATAGTACACACAGCATAGTGTACACACAGCATAGTGTACACAAACACAGCATAGTACACACAGCATAGTGTACACAGCATAGTACACACACACAGCATAGTGTACACACACAGCATAGTACACACAGCATAGTGTACACAAACACAGCATAGTACACACAGCATAGTGTACACAGCATAGTGTACACACACAGCATAGTGTACACACACAGCATAGTACACACACACACAGCATAGTACACACAGCATAGTACACACACACAGCATAGTACACACAGCATAGTACACACACACAGCATAGTACACACAGCATAGTACACACACACAGCATAGTACACACACACAGCATAGTACACACACACAGCATAGTGTACACACACACAGCATAGTGTACACACACAGCATAGTGTACACACACACAGCATAGTGTACACACACACAGCATAGTGTACACACACACAGCATAGTACACACAGCATAGTGTACACACACACACACAGCATAGTACACACACACAGCATAGTGTACACACACACAGCATAGTACACACAGCATAGTGTACACAGCATAGTACACACACAGCATAGTACACACACACAGCATAGTACACACAGCATAGTACACACACATAGTAGTTGCAGGTGTAATAGTTATAGTAGTTGCAGGTGTAGTAGTTGTAGGTGTAGTAGTTGTAGGTGTAGTAGTTGTAGGTGTAGTAATTGTAGGTATAGTAGTTGTAGGTATAGTAGTTGTAGGTATAGTAGTTGTAGGTGTAGTAGTTGTAGTTATAGTAGTTGTAGTAGTTGCAGGTGTAGTAGTTGTAGGTGTAGTAGTTGTAGGTGTAGTAGTTGTAGGTGTAGTAGTTGTAGGTGTAGTAGTTGTAGTTATAGTAGTTGTAGGTATAGTAGTTGTAGTAGTTGTAGGTGTAGTAGTTGTAGGTGTAGTAGTTGTAGGTATAGTAGTTGTAGGTGTAATAGTTATAGTAGTTGCAGGTGTAGTAGTTGTAGGTGTAGTAGTTGTAGGTGTAGTAGTTGTAGTAGTTGTAGGTGTAGTAGTTGTAGGTGTAGTAGTTGTAGTTGTAGTAGTTGTAGGTGTAGTAGTTGTAGGTGTAGTAGTTGTAGGTGTAGTAGTTGTAGGTGTAGTAGTTGTAGTTGTAGTAGTTGTAGGTGTAGTAGTTGTAGTTGTAGTAGTTGTAGGTGTAGTAGTAGTAGTTGTAGGTATAGTAGTTGTAGGTGTAGTAGTTGTAGGTATAGTAGTTGTAGTAGTTGTAGGTGTAGTAGTTGTAGGTGTAGTAGTTGTAGTAGTTGTAGGTGTAGTAGTTGTAGTAGTTGTAGGTGTAGTAGTTGTAGTTATAGTAGTTGTAGGTGTAGTAGTTGTAGGTGTAGTAGTTGTAGGTATAGTAGTTGTAGTAGTTGTAGGTGTAGTAGTTGTAGGTGTAGTAGTTGTAGTTATAGTAGTTGTAGGTGTAGTAGTTGTAGGTGTAGTAGTTGTAGTTATAGTAGTTGTAGGTGTAGTCGTTGTAGGTGTAGTAGTTGTAGTAGTTGTAGGTGTAGTAGTTGTAGGTGTAGTAG